GTTCTGTAGTGTAAGTATGATTTCTGTTGGATCTGTCTAGAGGAGTGGAAGAAGCATAGCTCCTCTACAGGAGGCTACTACCGCTGTACTCGCTATGAAGTTATCCAACAATTAGAGGAACAGTCCAAGGAAATGACTGTAGAGGTGCATACACAAAGACACACTCAAAAAAAACATAACACACCCAGTTGATTGCACACAATCTGTCACTAGTGTGAACATGCACACAAAATATAATCCTACATTGTACATTTACAGCTGCTACTTTAGCACCTGTCACTGAATATATTTTTGTACCACATGTTCATAACAACATTTTATGTATGCATAGACTCTGACACACAGTTATTTTGTTACAGGCAGAAAAGAAGCACAAAAGCTTTCAGGAGCTGGACCGTTTCATGCACTATTATACTCGCTTCAAGAATCATGAACACAGTTATAAGGTAACAAAATTTCAGCACAGACACATTTAAACAGTTCTTATTGGCTTGGATTTAGAAAATACTCGTGAATCATATATCTGGATCTTAAGATTGTTAACATATGGGACATGTATTCTCTCCTCTGTGAAATAGTTGGAGGAGAAGCTGCTGAAAACAGCTAAAGAGAAGATGGAGCAGCTGAGCAGGGCCTTCACTGGCCGTAAGTCTCCTTTATAGTGACTTCAGTCTGTTGTTGAAGTGCTGCATCAGATGAGAAAGTTTGGCTTAGCTGCTTGCCAGCTGTATATTGGTGCTTTGTTAGATTCTATATGAAGAGCACAGTGGGGTCACTCTTAAATCTAAGCTTTAATTGGTTTGGTAGGTTATGTGCATTTGCTTTTATTTCAGACAGTGTACAGAAGGGAGAAGGGGATGACCTCCTCCATCCACACTGATGCCTGTGCTTTGGCTTGTTTTTATTATAATACATTAATCCTATTTACAGAAAGAAATGTTGCATTTTATTACCACAGCAATGCCTGAAAATGTAGGACTACTCTTGGAATACTGACAATAAAAAAGACATTTTTGTCAGCTTTTAAAATAAAGCCAAGGTTTGTTAGACAATTTAGTGTGTGTGTGCACGCACATGCAGGTGAAGGCTCCCCTCCAGACACGCGGTTCATTGAGGATGGTGTGTGTGAGCTGCTGAAGACGCGGCGCGTGCTGAAGTGCTCTTACCCATATGGCTTCTTCCTGCAGCAAGGCAGCACCCAGAAAGAGATATTTGAGCTCATGCAGGTAATCTGTTATGCATGCATCCTCTGAAAGAATAAGGCTAATGACTTCAAAGCCCCTCTGTTCAGCTTTCCAGTCTGCTGTGTTAATTAGACCCCACAGGGCCGGACTGTAAAAGTTAAACTTGAGGACTGTGTAGTAAGGGTTTTTTGAAGACAGAGAGAATGTTGAGAATGTAGTGATTTGAATTTAGGTAGTTACTCACAGAAAATCCTTGCAACAAGTATTTGAACCTCCAGAGGTCCTTTTCGGACACTTTGACAGGATTACTTTCAGATGATGTCTCCTGCAAGACAAAGATGACTCAAAATACACGTCTTATTTACAGTTTGAGTTAAATATGATTTGCAAATTTTTTATTTTTTAAATTTTTTTTATTGTACCAAAGTAACACATTAACAAAATAAGTCCGGACATGGATAACAAGACAACGAATACATGACATTACAAAAAGATGTAGAGTGTTTTACAAGATCGTGGTGTGTGAGGCTGTGAAGTGTGTGTATTTCCAACTTATGCAGTCTATGAAGGGCAAGAAAGGGAGAAGTAGAGGAGAAAAAGAAATCACAACAATGATAAGATACTACCAATAAAAACAGCTTGTTACATTTTTAGAGGTTGGTGGGAATGTGCGTGGCCTCAGCCTCAGGTGTTTGGTTCAAGTTGAAGTGTGTTAAAAATGGGTTTTATGTGCCATTAAAAGCTGATAAACTATTCTTGTGAGTAGATGCCATTTTCTCTAATGTGATGTATTCTATCAGAAGGTTGGTCCAGTGGTTTATGTGTAGTGATCTTTTTGATTTCCACTTTTGAAAGATTGTTTTCTTGGCAATAGCTAGAGAAATGATTCTAAAATCATCTAGAATGAAGGGATTCTACAGCCCAAGGTGGTGGAGAGTTTCTCTGTCACTGCTATCCAGAGGGAATGAACTGGTTGGCAGGTCCAAGTAGCATGAAAATAATTGTTGGTGCAATCTAGAGTGCATTGTGAGCAGATGTCTGTGTCGGTAAAACCCATTTTGAACATTTTACTTTCTGTAATATGGGTCTATAAATGGTCTTGTATTGTATAAGTTGTAAGTTTACGTTGCTGGTCATAGAAAATATATTATTGCAAATTTCTGTCCAGAAGTCGGAGCTGAGGGAGAGAGTTAAATCATTTTTCCATTTGAGTTTTGGTGGCGTTATTGTTCAATCTGTACTTGATATGAGTTTTTATATCTTGGATATTATTTTCTTGGAATCTGTAATTTTCATAATCTCCAATTAATTTGGAGGGTTGTAGTGGGTTATTGGTTACACTAATCTTTGACTTAAGTATGGATTTTAGCTGATTATACTGGAGGAACTGTTCTCTCTGAACTCCGTACTTCTGGATCAGTGTATTAAATGATACAAACTGGTTATTTTCAAATAGGTGGTGTAAGTGAGTGATTCCTTTGTGTTGCTATGCTGGGAAATAGATAGGGTTATTATGCAGTTGGAAATCAGGGTTGTGCCAAATTGGAGTGTATCTACATGGTGCAAGTGATGATTTAATGACTTTGTTTGCTTTCCACCAGGCTGTCAGAGTTGAGAGGATTGTGATGTTCTTACGGTAATTCATTTTCTTATTAGAGTTGGGTAGGAAGGGAAGGTCTGAAACTGAGTTATTTGCATTATTTTTACAGTAATTTTGCTCTAATTCTATCCATGCACTGTTGTAGCTGTCCTGAATCCATTTGACCAAATATTGTAGCTGATTTGCTAAGTAGTAATATTGGAAATTTGGTGCTTCTAGGTCACCTAGTGATTTCTTCTTTTGAAGTGTAAATAGGGATATTTTGGGTTTCTTGTTTTTCCAATAAAATTGTGACGTTATAGAATCAAACCATTTATCTGTGGGTGTTGTGGGAAGCACTGTAAACAGGTAGTTAATTTGAGGTAGAGTTTACATTTTGACAGTCAGCCGATGAGTGAGAGGAAGATTGGACCAGCGTTTGAAATCATCTTCTATCTTTTTTAGCAGAGGGGTGTAGTTGAGGCTAAAACGTTCTGACAGCCTGGGGGGAGATGTTTATACCTACATATTTAATGTTGCCTGTGCAAAGTTGGAGGAAGGAGTCTTGAGCTGCAGAATCCCGGGCATCCTCAGAGAGTGGCAATATGGTGGATTTATTCCAATTTATTGTGTAGTGTGAGATAGAGAATGTGCTAATAATGTGTAACGTTTCCTGTACTGAGCTGTAGGGGTGCTGTAAATATAATAATAAATCATCTGCAAATCCCTCTTTTAATTTGAATTTCAAGTTTCTCCCAAAACAGATGGGAATTAGCATGTTGTATTTGTTTGTTCCCAGACCGACCTGGAGATGGTAGTGGAGGATCTGGCGCAGAAGGTCAACCGGCCGTACCTGAGGACGCCATGCCATAAGATCATCAGCGCAGCCCGTCTGGTGCAGCAGAAGAGGCAGGAGTTCCTTGCATCAGTGGCCCGTGGTGTGGCTCCCAATGACTCTCCTGAGCCTCACCGCAGGAAGTATGGACAAATTCATTCATTCATAAATAAAATGCAGTCGTACTTTGCTCAGGTTTGCAAATTTACTGCATAGGAACGACACTGGCAGGGATTCAGGAGACAAAGTATGGGTATAAATGCGTGGATACAAACTGTGCTGAAACTGAATTTTAAGTTAACTTAAGTCATCAGCTTTCTTGAAAACATTCTTGTTTGTTTCAGCTACCCTGGAGGATCATGGGACTGGGAGTACCTTGGCCTTGCCTCCCCTGAGGTGAGCAGAGAATCTCCTCCTTCCACACCATTTGCTGAAACACAAACTTTTTTCTGCTGACTTTTTTTGTTTATGTTGAGCTAATGCTACTTGCAAAAACCATGTTGGTGTGCTTGTGACCTACCTGTATATGAGAACGCCATGCATGACTACAGCTGCAGCTGACTTATTTTGCTTATATGTGTTAAGATGGGGAGTCGTCATTCTGTTCTTGGAGCTGCAGATCAAAGAGAAAGACGGTCACAGGTGATGTACCATAGTTCCACGGCATTTGTGCAAATGCATGGATTGTATGCTCTTTTTCTGGGCCTTAGATTATGAACCTGATTGAGGCAATATAGACTTGCAACACAGCTTTTAGAGTTGGTTTTGTAATAACACACCTTGAATCACTCTTAGCAGGATTATGCGGACATCCAGTACCGTCGTAGACACAGGCCACGGCGCAGAGGAGACATGCTGAGTCTGCACAACCTGAGAAGCAGCAGCAACACACCAGAGACCAGCCGGAGGAGCGACAACCCAGGTCTGGTGAACAGAATGTTTAGTGACCTCATAAAGATTTTTACAATAAGGATTAGCCAAAAGGCAAAAGGGTGCATGTAGAGTGTTGTGCTGTAATTTATTATTTTCACATATGCATAGTGACATATACAACATTCAATGGCAAGATCATTTGCACAAACTGTAAATCCTAGTCTTAACTCCTTGTCTTGCCTCAATTTATAGATGTTGACTTGTCACTGCATCAGACGATCAGCAAGTGGGGTTTTACTTTATTTCTCTGTGAATCAGATTTGGTCGAAGCCCAGAGAGGCATTGATCACTGGAATCAACTGACAGTAAAGCTATACAAAGCAGTCCTTGGTTTGATGTGACATTTTCTGTTCCAGATGGTTCAGAAAGGAGTGATGGTCATAGAAGAGCGCTGGGCTCGCTGGATGAAGATGACCCAAACGTCCTTCTGGCCATCCAGCTGTCGCTTCAGGAATCCCGCAGAGAGCGGGGCCTGGAGAGAGGGATGGAGGGGAGAGCAGAGCTGGAGCGTGGAATGGACCGAGGACAGGAGAGGAGGCCGGGCCTTGCAGGAGACCTGGGTGATGTTCCCTTACACTCCCTCAACACAGATGGTTCTCCAGGAGCCAGAGGCTCCTCTTTCCCCATTTCTCTTCTGGATCCTCCTCACCCCCCTAACAGGACAGACTCCACCTCCCAGCCTCCCACATCTCACACTGTTCCCCTCCCTCCCCCACCTCCATCCCTCAGTGCGGAACTGCTGGAGCTTGGTGACAGCCTTATGAAACTGGGGAACATAACCACTCCTTATGACCTGGACCCCCACACACAAGAGAAGCTCTGCTCACGCCACACATACAACCACAGTACTCTCACTGCTTCTTACACCACCGACCCTGCTTACAGCGACTGCAGCCATAGACAAGACCAGAGTGCACTGACAAATCCATATGTACTTGATCACACCATCACAGACCCTCGCTATGACTCCAAAAAGCAGAGTTACTGCTGGTCCAGTGGTTATTTGGCTGAGGCTGAACACACTGCCTCATCTGCACTTGAACAAACCCAAAACCCCACCCATCCTAGTTCATATAATCAGGAATATGCAGCCACATATGAGAGCACTCCAAAACCAGACAGCTCTTACAACACTTGCTCAGAACGTGATCACGCTTATACTCATGAGCGTTCTGGCAACTGTGCTCTTGAACGCCCAGCAAAATCAGAACCCCAGCCCCCTGCCCAGTTGTGCCTCCCATCTCCAGAGCTCGAGCCGGATATTTTGCTTTCACCGGTCATCCCCCCGGGGGGGCCCTTCACCCCCAGTGATCCTCAGAGCCTGGAGGCCCTGGACCCCACAGCCAGTGCCCAGCTGCTGGACAACATCATGGCCTGGTTTAATAACAACATTAACCCCCAGAACAACCCCCAGAGCCTGGCCCTCATTCCCTCCCCGCCTACCACAGAAACTGACTCCTCCCCTGACACACATACTGAGACTGAGTCAGAGAGCCAGACCTCCAGGGGCATGACCCCTGCCCTGCTCTGGCAGCCCCTGGAGGGCAAGCCAGTAGCGGACACAGGATCGACAAGCCCCCATCTAGGTTTGGAGGGCCTGAAAATGACAAGGCCCAGTACTCTGGAGCTGGAAAACAGAGAGGCTGGTGAGGAGGGTGAAAACCCAGGGTGTGTGGCTGACATCTCGCTGGACGAAGCACACACACACTCTTGCTCACTCTCCCACCGTGGAAACAGTCCCGCACACACTGCCCCGACCCCAGAGACAGACGTAGACCATGACCTTCAGTTAGAGAGGGACCAATCACCTGAGGAGTGGGAGGAACAAGTACACCTGGTGTGATAGAGCAGAGGAAAAAGTTGTGCTAAAATTGAAAAAGGAAACAAATTTAAGGACTGGGAACGTAGAGTGAAATACTGATTGGAAAATATATAAGATAGAATGCCACAGTGAAAAATGTAGGTCGACGGGGTTGAGTGTTTGCTGTGTGTATTGAGCCCTGTGTAGAGAGAACATAAAGCCCTGTAGACTTTGTGCAGTAAAGATGTCACACACAATTAGATTTTTTTTTTTTTGCGTTGTTGTCTGTGAAAACAGACAAATGCTTCTTTGAAAAGAAAGGAGTGTTATAACAGCACATCAGTGGAGCTACTGATATCATAACACGTAAAATGCTGCTCATGTATTCTTACTTTATTTATTTCCTGCTTCCTCTATTTGTCTTCAGTTTGTTCAGGGTGATGTTTCAGTGCTGATCATGCTGAAATCCAAACTTGGCTTGTATACCCACACTTCAGTTACACATTCACGCAGCCACAATCCTGCTCAGAGCTCTGAGAGCCAAATCTAATGAAAACTGTAACCTCAGAGCTCGTCCAGCGTACTGTACAATCAGAGGGCCTAATTCTGATTTTTGCACATTCATGCACACTGTGCCTGCTTTGTCAGAGAACCAACACTACTGGTGTTTCCTTTTTGGGTGGCTTCTCAGTAAACATAGTGACTGGCCTGGATTTTATGCCGGTAATGATTCTGTCCAGTGATCAAAATGAGAAATAGTTTTGCCCCCACTGCACAGGGAGGGTCAGTTTCAGCTGCAGTGCCCTGAAGTCGGTACTAAGTCAGTGTCTGCTCAAAGGCACTTCTGCATTATTGGTGCTTGTTTTCAGGGGGAATTGAACAAACTAGGTTTCCTGCTCACTGCACCGCGCTGTTACCCATTCCCATCATTTTTCTGCCTTTTTTCCTCCATTAGGTCTTATCAACAATGCAGTATTTTACAGTTGCTTTGGCTCAGTTTTCATCTGTGTCACAAAATGCTATGCTCCTAATTTTGGCTTCAAGTTCTCACATAACCCACAACATGAAAACATCTCTGTCAAATTAGGTAATACATCATAAAATATATTAATCAAAGCATCACTATATATTCATAACATTTCTATCTGGGTTGTAGTGTTGCTTTTATAATGTTCTGCAAATAATATTGTTTAACAATTATTTGATAATGCCACGGCCATTTCCTCAATATGGTATGGGAGTTATAGTGACAAAAATGTGTAAGTATGCAGAAGTCAGAATTTGAAATCACACAAAATAAGGAGAAGTGATTGCAGACGTGGATTCAGTGATCTGTTCACCTGGCACTGAAACCATTGCTGTCATGAGGTGTGTGGGAACATGGTTTAGTCTCTTTCACTTTGTTGTAAGAAAATGTATTCAGTCATTTTGTCTTTCTGCACATACAGTAGAATCTGAGCCACAGCAGCTATAAAAAAAGTTTTAAAAAAAAGTCTAAGATTTTACAGGTGAAGATGCTTTTATCATATCTGTTCCACTACTGATGGCTAGTGTGCTATTGATAGATGTGAAATGGGTTGGAGTTTTACTGTAACTTATTCTTTTTTTTATTCCTTTATTCTTTGTTATAGGGAAGAAAGTTCTTTCAGTTGAGACCACAGATGTTGGGTCGGGGGGCCATATTTGTTTGTTTGTTTGTATTTATTATTGTCATTGCTTTTTAAACATGCTAAACAGAGTCACTAATGAAAGTTAATGGAGAACACAGCTGTTTGGCTGTTGCCATAATACACTTGGGTTCTTAATGCACAGTTGTTGTTTTTTGTTTTTTTTTTTTTTTTTTTTTTTTTGGTCCTTTCAGCCCTAAATACCTTTGGGCTTTTATTACACATTTTGTTTTTTTTTTTTTTTTTTTTTTTTTTTTTTGGTCCTTTCAGCCCTGGTTTATCTTAACTTTACCTTATCCCCAGAGAAGAAATGGTCATGTTTTGACTGTTTTAGTAGTTAAAAACTGCTCTGAGGTTTTTCAATTATTCCCTTTTGAATTCCCACTATAATTAACAACCACTTTATCTGAGTGTTGCTCAAATGTAGTTGCCCTTTCATTTCATAAGGATCTTTACATGATGCAGCACTCTGACATCTGGGTTGTCATTCAGCCTTTAACTTAAAACTGTATTGTTTACAAGAGAATTACACACTGCCAGTTGTGCTGGGCTTGAATGACAGCAGCAAAGTGTTTTCATTACACTTTGATGTCATGTCAAACAAATGTGAAGATATGCTGTTTAAGAGTGAATTCTGAGTTTGCTCCCACTACATTACAAAAGTTGTACACAATGTGTTATGCAATCAAAAAGGCATCACTTATAACTGATAGTATGAAGCTTGTTTGAAGTGTGGTTGACAGAAATGAGCATGACTTTAGAGGGAGTGACAGAACTCAGACATGTTGTAGGTGCTAATGGTGAGAGAACATCATACTGAGATGTGACGGCAGGAGGCATTGCCCACAAAATTTCTGACTTTGTTCCATGAGAAGTAGCTTGATTGACAGGAAACTTTTGCTGTGGGTTGCATGGTGCAACAGTAAAAGCTTTTAATTTGTATAGGCATGCTGTTATCAGGCAGGATGTGGAGGTCAGATGAGTGCTGCTTTTATTATTTTTCGTTGTCTACTTTAATAAAGGTTTGGTTTATGGTGCCAGGGGAATGGTCCTGTGCTATTTTGTACCCCATATATAATGTTTGTGTTTTAATGATCCCTCAACCAACAATTTCAGAAGTCAAAAAAGAAATTGCACTCTCAGATTATACTTGATACATTCCCAGTTTGTCCATAAGAGCAGTTTGATGTGTGGCCAGAACTGTAAGTGAAAATGTCAGTGCAAAGTTTACTCTCAATAAAAAGAACTGAAAGTGTGTCACTATGGGTTTTGTATAAGTGGTCTGTGAGAATGTTCTCTAGTCATCTCACGAAACATCTGCAAAAGAAAGACCAGTTTGCTCCACATGTCAATGTTTTGTTCCTTGAACAGTCTGATCACTAGAACATCGTATACTGTAGCTACAGGACACGTGAGGGCTTTAAGGACAATATCTTATTTTTCTCTTGTAGTTATCAAAAACCTGCCAATAATGATCAAGTAAACTAACTTCATATTTCAAATACTCCATTCAAGCATGTACTAGGTATAAGCAAACTGATATTGGATTATGTGTAAAATTATGTGTGTTGTCATATCAACTGTCTTTACATGCTTGAAAGAATAAATCAAATCAATTCAAATCAAATACACACATATTCTGGCCAACAGAGCGGTAGCGCTCAGGGGTAAAGCTCACTGAGGGTCACACACAATCTGATCATTATTTGAATATTGAATTGTTGTTTGCATATGCTTTTTTTCCAAGTAAGATCAAAAATTATATTCACTGATATATTTTGTCCTTTTTAATAGTTGCTGCAGGGCATAGTACTATAATAAAACATAGTTGTAAAAAAAAGCTCTTTAAATTGATCAAGTCCAATTTTATGTACACTACATACTATCACAACTCTGTCTCAAGTGTGGCATTCATGTGGACGGCAAAGTAAGAATTTCATTGTACAGGGAAACACGTTTCCTAACTGTGCATATGACAAATAAACACTGACCTTGACCTCAAGTCTGTACAGCAAATGCAATTCCTTTTCCTATTGTGGTGGTGACGACATTCAGTTTCATCAGTGCATTTTATTACAAAACTAACTGGACTAGTTGGATTTTTTTTCATGGAGATACAAGAAGATGATTTCAAATTCTTTATGACCAATAAAGTGAATAAGATTAATTTGCAGTATACATTATACAGTATTTACACCGCTGTGAAAATCACTCAAATGTTAGATTCAAAATTGTATCATTTTATTAATCATAAATTCTATGAGGAATGTCTCACATTTCCTTAGTCATTAGAAAATACATCATCATCTTCTTCTTCTTCTTTCGGCTGTTCCCGTTAGGGGTCGCCACAGCGAATCATCTGTTTCCACCTAACTCTATCCTCAGCATCCTCTACTCTCACCCCACTTAGCTTCATGTCCTCTTTTAGCACATCCATATATCTCCTCTTTGGCCTTCCTCTTGACCTCTTGCCTGGCAGCTCTATCTCCAACATCCTTCTACCAATATAACCACTATCCCTCCTCTGCACATGTCCAAACTGTCTCAATCTGGCCTCTCTGACCTTGTCCCCAAAACAGCCGACCTGAGCTGTCCCTCTGATGTGCTCATTCCTAATCCTGTCCATCCTGGTCACTCCTAAAGAGAACCTCAACATCCTCATCTCTGCTACCTCCATCTCTGCCTCTTGTCTTTTCCTCACTGCTACAGTCTCTAACCCATACAGCATAGCTGGTCTCACTACTGTCTTGTACACCTTTCCTTGGATTCTTGCTGACACTCTTCTGTCACACAACACTCCTGACACCTTTCTCCACCCACTCCAACACGCCTGCACTCGCCTCTTCACCTCTTTCCTACACTCCCCATCACACTGGACAGTTGACCCCAAATACTTCTGCACCTTCTTGACCTCAGCCCCCTGTAACCTCACTGTTCCACTTCCCTCCCTCTCGTTCATACACATGTATTCTGTCTTACCACGACTGACTTTCATTCCTCTTCTTTCCAGAGCAGACCTCCACCTGCTCTCTGCTCTCACTACAGATCCCAGTGTCATCCGGAAACTTCATTGTCCACGGAGATTCCTGTCTGACCTCATCTGTCAACCTGTCCATCACCATAGCAAACAAGAAGG